TTTTTTTTTTTTGACATTTTCCAAGATGAATGAAAAAGTCTCAATTTTGGATTTTCCCAGACCCAAAGACAAGCCTAGGTATTTGCTGTTTGTTTGGATTTGAATACCAAGGAGAATCTGGCTGATGGAGTGTTTGGATGCAGAAGGGGTATTTTTACTAAAGTAAATTGAGGATTTATGCAAGTTTATTTGTTGACCTGTAATCTGGTTATAAGAAGCCAGGAGCTGAAGGATAAGAGTGGCTTGAAGGGGTTCTGCTTGAGTGAAAAGGAGGGTATCATCAGCAAAAAGAAGATGGGTTAGAAGGGGGCCATGTCTACACAGTTTCATGCCTTTGAAGTTCCCCCTCTCAGTTTCTTTTTTAATGAGGCTAGACAGGATTTCTGAGATAATAATGAAGATATAAGGGGACAGAGGGTCCCCTTGTCTAATACCTCTGGATGGGATAATATAACCTGAGGGTTCACCATTGATGTTAAAAGAGAAGGAAGATGAAGATATGCAAGCAAGAATCCATTTAACCACAGAAGAATGAAAACCCAGTTTAAACAAGCTAGACTCAATGCAGGACCACTCGACTCTGTCAAAAGCTTTACTCATGTCCAGTTTTATGGCCATATAACTGGTCTTGCCTTTAGAGTGTCTATTAAGGAAGTGCAGGGCTTCTTGGGCAATAATGATATTATCGAGGATCTGTCTATCTTCAACAAAGGCAGACTGGGTTTCACTAATACACAGGGGGGTGAGGGGTTTAAGTCTGGAGGTTAGGATTTTGGCAATGACTTTGTAAGTAACACTGCAGAGGCTAATGGGTCTGAAGTGGGTGAGCTTTTCAGGTCTTTGGGTTTTGGGAATAAGGGTGATCAGAGTATGGTTGAGACTTATAAGCAATTGCCCTGATTCAAAGAAACTGTTAACAAGCTGAAAGAGATTAATATGAATTAGGTCCCAGAAATGTTGGAAAAAGGCTGAGGTCATACCGTCCATACCTGGGGCATTGTTTGGATTGATGTTGAAGAGAGCTTCTTTGAATTCAGCTAGATCCACATTAACCATGAGGTTTTGATTCATCTCTTCAGTGATAACCGTAGGCAGGTCAAAGAGCATAGCAGAAGAGGATGGGGTGATTTCAGATGTGAACAGATGTTTGAAAGAGGCTTCAATGTACTGAGATATTTCAGCTTTAGAAGTGCATGTGGAGTTGTCTTCTCTGACTAACCGGTATAGGGAGTTGAATTTTCTCCTTTGCAATGTGCTAGCATGAAAAAATTTCGTGTTTTTGTCTCCTTCAGTGATCCACTTGATCCTTGATTTTTGGCGCCAGAATATTTCTTCTTCTTTGTTGAGGACATCAATTTGATGTTTCAGAGAGTCCCAGAGTTCCCAGTCAATAAGGCCTCCTTGCATTCTGAGAGATTCCATTTGTCTGTTGAGTAGCTCAAGTTTTTTCACATTTTCTGTTCTGAATCATTTGCTCCACTTGAGCAGGTTAACCCTAGTTTGTTTGATTTTGGATAGGAAGGAAAACATAGGAGTGCCTGTCTGAGGAGTGTGCCAAGCTTGAGCAACTGTATCTTTAAAGCCTTCTTTGCCGAGCCAATTTTTGTTGAATAAGAATCTTTTCTTGAATGAAGATGTTTCAGGATCAAGGTTAATGTTAAGTAAATAGTGATCTGATGAGCTTCTGAATATAGATGAGACTGCAGCATTAGGATAGAAGGAATGACAATCGAGGGACCCAAATATTCTGTCTAGCTTTTCCTGAACATATCCTTTACCTGTTCTGTTATTCCCCCATGTAAATGGGATGCCAGTCATTGGAAATTCTTGCATACACATAGAGCTAATAAAATCTTTGAATGGCCTGAAGGAGAGCTCTGATCTGGCCACCCCCCCTTGTTTGTCCTCCGCACATGTGATGTCGTTCCAATCTCCTCCAATGAGCCAGTGATCACCCCAGTGCCTTTTTTCAGAAATGAGAATTTGCCATTGCTCAGAACGCAATCTGTAGTCTGTGCTTAGATAAACAAAAGAGCACCAGCAACTCCTGTTGAATTTAGTATCCCAGAGCTGGACTTGAATACAAAAAGAAAGGGTTTTAATTTGGAGAATAGTGACTGAGGGATTCCAAAAGCAAAGAAGCCCACCACTTCTACCTTCCGGATCAACTGCAACCCAAGAACTATGTACACCAAGAGATCTGCAAACAGTATTTACAAAAGCTGACTTTTTTTTTTTGTTTCCGAGAGAAAAACCAAAATTGGGTGATGGAGCTTCCAAAGCTCCTTAAGTTGCAAAATTGTAGAGGGCCTACCCAGCCCTCTACAATTCCACATCAAAATCTTCATTGATCCGGGTGGGGCCATTTAGGGCTGGCTTCCTCCACCGCATGAGAAGTCTCCTTGAGTTTTTTGGATTGATGGGTTTCTTCTGGTGCCTTGTCTGAGAAAGGGAGGTTGATGGCATCAGAAGATGAGAGCTGTCTTTTCCCCCATTTGGTTGTGGTTACATTTGGTTTAGCAGTTTGCTTGGATGAAGTTGGAGATATCCTCTTCCAAGTTTTAGGAGATTTGGGTAATGGGTTTGTTGAGGTTTTAGGGGTTGGCATGAAATCAGGATTAGGAGGAGGTGAAATAACAGGAGTAGCAGGGGTGGTGGGAGATGAAGAGGAGATTATTTCCAGATGCATAGGTGAGCTGTCTGGCTGGGTTAAGCTTGAGGGTTGAGAAATGTTATGTTGGTTAGATTTTTGATGATTAGATGGGTGAGGGGTAGAGGTAAGTAGAGGGAGGGAAGGAGGTTGGATACTGTTATCAACAAGCTTAGTAGTGGTGTTAGGGTTGTTATCTGATATGGGCTTGGAAGGAGATTGAAATTTGGGGGTTTGATGGGAAGATGAAGGTTGATGAGAAGGAGGTTGAGGGGTTGCAGAAGGCTCATTGGTGGCAGGTTGAGGAGATTTGTTAGTAATTACAAGGGGGGATGATTTTGTGGCTTCAATAAAAGGAGAAGGACTAGGAGAGGGGCCATTATTAGCAGTTTCTGATGGAACCTGCCAGTAGGAATGGGCTGAGGGGGGTGGATTATCATGTGCTCTGAGCCAGTCACCGAAAAGGCCTTCAGTATGAACTCCTACCGCAATGTCTTTGGTTCTCTAATCACAAGCTTTATCTGTGTGGCCAATGATGCCACAGTAGTAGTAGACAGTAGGGAGTCTTTCATATTTGAAGTCGACAAGAATTCTTTTGTTTCCCAGTTGGATATTGGCACATCTCAATAGGGGTTGCTTAATGTCAATGGTAACTAGGAGTCTGATGCATTTACCAGCTAAGGGACCCCCTTGAGGGATTATAACATTTTTTACCTGAGAGAAAGCTTTCCCTATTTTTAAGCCAACATCCGTTGATATCCAATTGACTGGTATGTTCCAGACTTGAATCCAAGAATCGAGTTCTGTGAAGATTTCGTGCTCGGCTGAAATGTCTTCTACCCATTCTTTGAGAATTAAGGGGTGATTTTCGAAGTTCCAGCTAACTCCTTTTGACACCTTGGATTTATCATCAATGTCACTGAAAAGGAATTGAAAGTAGTTCGGGCTTAGCTCTTTCACTGTTACCGCACCTTTAATTTGCCAGATGACGCCGATCGTCCGTTTTATCGCAGCCAGGTGGGCCTTTTTATTCCCGATTAGTTTTCCGAACAAACTTTTGCTGCATTCTTCTGCACTGAAGTGAATATCCTTTGGATCGATGACTATGCGATTAGCTTCTCTAGCTGACAGCTGGAAATTTCCAAACTGGTGGATGATGTCTTCTTCCATGAATCAAAACCCTAGGAAAAAGGACTAGCAAAGAGATCAAAGCTCCACTTCAACAGCAATCCCCAGGTGGAAAGCGACCTGCTATAAGAAAAAGGAACAAGCAGCAAAAGGACAGAACAAACAGAACCGAAACCCTAAAAGGGGTACCCCCGGAGAACGGGAATATAATGAGAGAAATAATAGATATAGATAAAGTAAACTGACCCAAGTCTCAGAGGGGATAATAGATTAGCTTACATACGAAGGAATACTGCTCTTTAATGGAGGAATAAAGGCTCATTAATGGAGGAATAAGGGCTCCCATAGAAGAGAGGAATCGGTTACTCTTCTTTCAATCATTGGGTGTCATAGAATAAGTATTTCACCCTGCAAGCACATGCCCACATCACTCTGCATGCACATGCTCCCAAATGGCCTTGACGGCCGATAGTATAGCATAGAGAGCTCGGTTGTGAATTGGGTCTCTCACATGGCTCGGTTCTAGATCGAGTTTTTTTAACTTGACTTGAAGGCAATAGGTCGGGTACGTAGATTCCTCAGAGTTGGAGGTCGAGTTATCAACCTGGATCTCGAGTGACCAAAAGGTTGGAGGTCGAGTTATTGACATTAAATTCAGGTCCCCAATTAGCGAGCTGGTATAAGAGCATGTCTGGCACCAAAGGGTGCTTCTGCTCGGAGAGGCGACCTATCGAACTAATAGAGGCATTAATCGCGTGACATCTACTAAAAGTATGATTGTGAGAATCGTGAGGATGTGGGAGATATGGAAGGAGATACTATGTAAGAAGGTATTTGATACCTAGTTTCCTTAGAAGTACCGAGTTCTTGAAAGGCAAGGTAACCATTGTCTAATAAAAGTAAAAGTATGATTATTATGACGTTATGTTCTATTCATTATCATAGGCGCATACAATATACACAAGAGAGATTGACTTGTTATTCGGAAACTCCACGTCGATAAACCTTCTGAAGCTTTTTCAGGACTTGGACAAGAAGGTTAGGCAATGATTCAAAGAGAATCGGTCACTCATACTAGAGTTATATGGTAGATTATATATACACACACAGGGGCGAAGCCACTCCAAAGACTGGGGTGGGCTCCAGCCCAGTGTTGATTTCTAAGTTTCTTCTGGACCCATATTAGTAATAGGCTTGTAGCCCACTTGATACTATTTTAGCTAAGGCAATTTGAAACAAAAATAAGCCCAACTTTACATTATTTGGCCAAGTTCATTTAAAACCTAAAAACCAATATGTAATTCTCTTGAATTCTTCCAAAGTAAATTATTAAATGCCATCCCCCCTTTTTTTTTGCTTTTGGTTATTTGTTTATTTTGCCTTGATCTTATTATTATCAATTGACATATCTTTTAATATTGAAATGATTAATGTGCTTAATTAAATTTTACTAAATAATATAGGTGATGATCAACCCCTCCTCTAAGATTTTATGTGAATTAAATGTTGTTATTTTCCTGGAGTTTTAATCTAGGATTTGTAATTGTTTGTTTATTGGTTGTTGATTAGTAACTTAATCATTAATTTTGTTGTATTAAGATAATGGAATCTAAGTCTTTTATTTAAAATACACTACTTTAAGCAATGTTTAGTTGTTACCCATTCGAATAATTTAATTGAGTAGGTTTCGGCTCCGACTCCAGATCGATCGGGTCCCGAGTTGAGCCGTTGCGCCGATCCGATTGAAAAACTATGATTTTCATTATAATATTCGTATAAAATTAATGGATAAAATTAAATTTATTTAAATTATTTTTTTAAAAAAAGTATTATTTTAGAATGACCGCTTAGGCGAAATCGTAGCGCCTAGATGTCACCTACCAAATTTTCCTAAGCGATTTTCCATGATAGACACTTTATTTTTATATTATTTTGTGATTTTAAGTATATTTTTAAACCATTTCCTATACCAATCAACCTATGGTCGTTATTTTTTTTAACTTTTTTATGCGCTACGTCATTAGTTCAGGGTTATTTTTTTTCTGGCTATGTCCCTGTGCACACACATACACACAGACACACTAAAAGTTTAAAATCTTAGGGGGGACAATGCCCCCCCCCCCTCCCCCCACCAAATGATATAAGTAGATTCGCTGCTGCAAACCAATAATGTCATTTATACATTTTGCAACGCAGCTATAATGACGATAAAATTTCGTTGCTGCATATCTATATCTATATAAATATAAAAAGGTTTGATATTTACCTGAAATAGAAATAAAATTCCCGCCTAAATAATTCATTTTTACCTTTTATAGTAATTTTTTTTTTGAAAATTTTAGAGTCCTGGCGGTCAGATTTTGAAATTCAAATTACAAAAGAGAATTAAATCTCTGTACAAAATAGAATTGGTCAAATATTGCAGCTCACTCAAATTGCTTGCGATATTGCTATTACAAACCGAAAGTAAAATATAAATAAAGTAATATTGAGGCGGTTAGTATTTAAATCAATGTTTATGATTCACAGAATCAATTTTTATGTCCAAATATTACGGACAATTAAAAGTAAATAAATAAGATTAACCTACAGAATCTGATGAAATAAAAAGACAGCCTTCATGATCCTCGAAATTCCCTTCTATATGGGGATTCCAGAGTAACCAAATCTGCACGATAATTCCTACAAAATTTATTACAAAAGACTCTAATTATAGCTTTTTTTATTTATCAAAGATTAATCAAATCGGCAAATATAACTAAAGTGGCATATAAATCATAATTGTTTGAGTAAATATATATTTGCCACATTAATAAGATTTACGTGTATCATCTGATATGCATATCATATTTTCTACCAAATTAATCAAAATCTGCAACCAAATAAAACACTGCATACGAAATTTAAAAGTATCACCATACACTATATATATATAAATGCCCCACCACATTCGAGTACTGAAGAAGGTGAAAGGTGATAGCTCTTAATCATCGAGCTATTTTATTGTTTATTTAAAAAATAGTGAATCATACTTATTTTTTAAATTGATTTCTAACTACATGCATTTTTTCACTGCTTTTACAATCAGTTACTGTCCAAGAAGATTCATCATGCATATTGATGAAAAGAGAGGTATTGAGCAATGGATATAGACAATAGAGATGATGCAATGATTCAACAAAAAAGAAACAACATGCAAAGAAAACTTACAACAACCAAAAATCCATGTCAAGGTAAGTTGATCTAGCAAACGTTGCTTTTGCCTTTTCTTTACCAGCTTCCTGATGATTTTAGAATCCGATTCTAACTGAAATCTTTTGATTGACAGTTTCGTGTTTCTTTAGTCCGTACATGCTCATTAAAAAAATTAGAAGGAAATAAAAATCAATAATATTGATTAGTTTTCAACTGGATTCCTACAGTTGATTATAATTTCAGCACATTAGTTGCTTGTGATTCAAACATAGTTGAGTATGTGTGCAGAAACATAATTCAAGTTAGAAACCCAGCACTTATCTGTTGCTGAATTTTTAATCAATTTTATTAACAAAAATGTTTCAAGATATCCGAAATTAAAATGTAAAAAGGTGAGTTTAAGTGTCTTCAACCATTAAAAAATGAAAAAATATCACAACAAACATACATAATAGTATTCATTTATCCTAACATACTTGCTGTTTCATTAAAAACAATGTATATACATTGAATCATTACTAATAGTATCTTTTATTAACTTTTTGGTATCAAAAACATATAAGAAGTTGTAGTTATAGATGCAAGAAATAATCGAAAACAACACTTATTCAAAAATATTCATAACTTATACTATTCTTGTAGGATTTTGGATCGACAAACTTTTTTGAAATACTTATGTTTACTGCTCTGAATCTGATAAAAATATCTTTGAATTGTCCTAATTTTAACAAAAATAATAAAAAATTTGTATAAAAAGGAAACATTCAAATTTGGTGTCACCCACTAGATGTGTTATCTATATTTCTTCAGAACAGAGATGCTCATGCAAACAAAAATTAGATATTATAATACATTATGCACATCACCGAATTTAAATATGATTTATGCTTATTGAACAAACAATTGAAACTACAAAATTTATAAAAGAGAGATTATTAACAGATGAATGGAACTACAAAATTGGATCATCGATCCTTTCTGAAAAAATAAGACATGTTTAGCAAATATTTACACAAATTTCGGCCATCTTTTTGTTTGAATCATCCAATATTAACCAAAAATTAGTAAAAAATCAATTTTTTTTTTTTTTTACGTCACGGAAAATCAATTTTTCTTTTTTACTTCTACCACATATAGTTTCACTTTTTTTAATTTAAAAACACTCAAAAAAATTAAATATAATGTACAACCTTGATGTTGGCTATGAAATTGGTTTTCTCTTTCTTCTGAGTCTCTTAATCGACGATCTATGTTTCATGTCCAGTGAAGCTCATGCAAAAAAAATAAAAAAAAAATAAAAAAAATCGAGATTAGAACTATCATTAGACTCTGATTATATAATGATTTCTTTTAATAATTAGTCAGATGATACAGATCAAACAATATTTGTTGGAATAAGGTCGAGTTTGCAGAAAAAATATTATAAATTAGGCAAAATGATGTTTGTTCAATCATCGCAGAGTTTATAATTATTTAATTTAAACAAAAAAAACAAGAAAAAATTTTAGAAAAATGCTACTAACCTTTATTTACTGGTCGCATGCACCAGGTCCATGTCTATTTTTCACGAACTTCATACGAACATAGGGCTTCAGTGTAGTCAGGATCAATTCAAGGGAAACTCGATCGTAACGGAATATTTGTTACAAATTACTAACAATTTACATTGATTTCAGTCATTTTGGTCTATCTAGCAAAAATTGGAGAGTATGCTAAATTTTCTAATTTTGGTGAAATTTTCGAAAAAAAAAT